CACATCAGAGCCCTCTTTCATTGCCCTTTTAATACCTTTGAATCCCCCTTTAAATGTTAATCTTGTGCCAGCACTTAAGAGACAAAGTCAACTGCTCTCCTGCCACATCACAGCAAGCCACATTCTAAATCCAGCACCCCAAACTGCAATCAAAAGGATTTGTTGCTTGGTTTGGGGTGGAAGAACAGATGGAGAAACATCAACATTTAATTCAATAAACCTTTCAGCCCCTGATTCTGCTTAGCCTGAAATAAAATTAAAAATATGCATGGCATCACCTGCCAGTGTGGTGGCAACCTTCTGGCCAGCTGCACATCCCCAGCTGTGTCCTGCTCATGCTCCAAATAAATACTGGAAGAACTGAAGTGATCAAGGGGAGACTCAGATCTTTGCACACTTAGTTCTCAGCTTGCAAGGTTCATACAGGAAAGGAGGGTTCAGCCTATACATTCTCAGGGGCACAAGCACCCTGTTCCCATACAGCTGCCACCTCCTGGCACTGAAGTCACAGCAATGTTTTCAGCCCCAGGAAAGCAGTGACTTTGGAAAGCATCTGCACCACAGTTAGCTCTTGGCCTATGCAAAGACTGAATTTAATGGAACAACCCAGCACCAAACTTCAGTGAAAAATGTCCATCTTCAACTACCATCCCAATCTGGCAGGGCACTGTAAGAAGTGCTTGGTTTTAAGATCATGCTTAAACTCTGCTGAACATGAACTGGATATTTCTGAAATTAAACACTTGCTTAAAGGACTTGTTAAATTGGGGTGCAAAAAAAAAAAAAGACATACAAGGCAAATCCTCTTGCAGCTCTGGCTCAGGGAAGCAGAAAAGTGTATTCAGCTATAAAAGTAAAGTCACTGAAAAAGCTTCCTTATTTGAGAGGCACCACAAAGACTACAGCCCAGACTTCACCAATTACTTACGTAAAATCAGAACAATAGCAAGTGATAATCACAGACTGCAAAACATTCACAAAACCCTTCTGCTACCAGTGAGTTATTCCTCATGTGTGCTAATTAAATCAGTTTAGTTTTGAAAATACAAACTTGTACTGACTTAGAGTTTCACAGACTAAGCCACCTGGACATTACCAGGAGATTTGAAGGAAGAGCAATCCCGGAGCTCTGCAGAAGTGCTTTAGAGCAATAAGCAGAGAAACCAGCAAAAGTAAAACTAATATTACAATAAAAACTACAAGACTGTTACAAGTCTAAAACTTTTCTTTGCAGCGATTAGAAAAATGGAAGTTTTTTTTTAATGGGCTTTACTTTCTCTCACTTCCCTTTTTCAGGGGACATAAATCACTCTCAGCTGTGAAGGAACTATAACCATTTGGCTTCACTGGGGAGAAAAAAAAAATGTTACTAGACAGAAATTAAATCAGAAACAAAATCAGTGTTTGTGTGTTTTACAAGGCAGCACTTCCAACTTCTCTGCAATCCCGCACGCTCGCTGTGTCTTGGAGCCATTTTCCTCGCTGCTGTGCAGAGCACGGCAGAACATGGAGCTGGCAGGGGGATTGTGTTACTGCACCAACTGCCTTGGAAAACATCAACTCCTGCACGCTGCAGCTGTCCTGCTGCACAGGCCAAGTTACTCACACAGTACTCACACAGTACTACCCGCCTGCTTAATAATTGTGCTGCCTCTTCAGAGCCGACACGGAGCAGCCAGCATTGCCCAACTCGAACACTGGGCAAGCAACAGGCTTCAGCCAAGGACCCTTCACTTTGGAACTTGCTCCTACCACACTCAGAAATTGCTGAAACTCAGAGAGGGCTATGCAAACTTCCTGGTTTCCAAAGTTTTCTCATGCAAGGAAAGATAACTTATTGAAATTATAGTTAAAAATTGTCTTTAAATTTGTATTTAAAAAAATAAACAACAACAAACTGTTAAGCAAGCTGCCAGCAAGCAAACAAGAATGCTCCTAGAAAAAAACTTATACCCATACTTATATATATATACACACTATAACTTATAAATCTTTATATATATTTTCCCCTATAAAACTCCTGCCCTTCCGCACTATCCTGTTCCATTTGCACTGCAGGACAATATTTGCTGTGCAGTTTTCATTTCAATGATAAAACAAGCACCCTCAGGAATGATATACAACAGATGAATGTCTATTGGTGGTGAATATTTATTTACTTGTATGAATGTTTATTAATGAATGCTGCTATCAGCACCCTGTTCTCTGTCTCTGGTGACCTACATGATCTCTATCACAGCTCCTCAGTTTGGTCTTGACAGAACCAGCCCATGCACTTTTCCTGTCTGACAATGAAGAACCAGAGCACAAGCTCGAGACTAAAGAAAGGAATACCTGAAGGGTTACAAAATTTAAATTGGAAGCATCTTTTTTTTTTTTAACATGAAGAACTGCAACAGCTGAAAAGAGAAAGTTCATCTGATAAACAGAAATTCAAAATGTCACCAGTGTAATTAGTTTCTGAGAAAAATATTTACACTGCAGCTGAATCAAGCTACTTGCAGGCAAACGACAGCAAAACTGCAACAAGGAAGAAGGTTTTGTGTCTGCTCTTTAATGATTGTATCCTAATTATGGCAAAATTTCACCCCTTCCCAATGCTGGCTGGGAGAATCATTGTAAAATGCAGGGTCCCGCAAATTAGCAAGAAAGAGAACAATAAATTCCCCCCAAGGATAATGCATCACAAAACATGCTGCATTCATTTATTTGGCAAAGTGCAGTTTAATTACTTGTTAAAATAATGACTCCTTTGTAGGGGCCCTCACTAACATGCGTTGCTGCTCTGTATTTTGCTGAGTGGGACGAGCTGTGTGCCAAATTTGCGTGCACGGATTATACAGCGTGCGCATAAGCAGAGGGCAGAAAGGAGGTTGTACAGTGTCCTTTGTGTTTTGACAGCACATAAATGACACTCACTCTCTTCACGGAATTTGTCTGCTTTTCTGTATTTGGAAACTGTATTTCTTCTCTCAGTAGGGATTTTCAAGCCTCAATCCCATTTTATTGCAGAAAACGCTCAGCACAGTAAAAGTCCCTGCTGAGGAATCAGGATGTGCCCATTTTGCAGCCCAGTGTCACACAGTGCTCCTACTGCTCCAGTCAGCCCCAAGCTCAAACCAGGGTGCTCCACCACCATCTCACCCGTTGAGAAAGGGGACTATGATTTTGAGCATCCACAGATTTCTGTTTGTAGGGCCTCATGGAAACAGGAGCGGTTTCGCTGTCACAGGACTTGCAGCATGGCTGTCAGATGTTTATACATTATACTTCCACCCAGCAGCCCAAGAGGAAAACAAACTATAATGAACAGTTTAAGGACATACTAAGAAGAGGAGCTGGGATCTTGATGGTAACATTACTGAAGTTGTTTGTGTCTTATTTTGAAAGACATATTGTAAAGGTTATCAGAGAAATCCCATGGATTGCACCAGCAATATCCATTAAAGGCAGTGGCACAAGGCAATTCCATGGAATCCCAGAACTCTTCTTTTTTTATTCTACTGAGTGAGAACTGCCATGCTAGTACTGGAGCCAGTTGTGAAATATTCCACCATGAATACATGAATATACTCCACAAAACATGAATAGCTGTTGTAATAGTTTTTTTACTTCCCATTTCTACTTAAATTACCAGCTCTGCTCACATTCAGGTTGCAGTATTTGCTTTGAGCTCTATAATCAAGTTTTGGCCAACTTAAGCTTCTTGACAGTATGTAAAGCCTGTAACATGGTTAGTCTCACCTTGGAGAACTTTGCTGCAGTTATAGGATGAATTTGCATGTTCCATTTTTAAAAGATAGCCTGTGAGAGAGTTGCGTTTTCACAGTATGACTGTTGAACTTGATGGAGAAAAAAGTAACACTGTCATCATCCATGTATTAATACCAGCAAGGGTGACAGAAAGTTAGAGTATAGGTCCTATCCCATCCTGCACCTTCCCCTTCACCCTCATTTTTCATATAATTGGCTGTATTTAAAGATGAAACTTAAATACACTTACTCCACCAACACAGATCACATTTTCTGCCCTCTAACACTCCATCCAACAGATATGCAAAGGATAATAATTTACAGTTCATAATGGAGAAATGGTGAGTGATAATGTGGACAACACAGCATACTCCTAAACGTGACACTGAGTCACTCAACATAAACCCCAAGTATCTCAGAATTCAATTCAGAAAAACAAAGTTAATAACAAAGCTTAAGAGAACCAGGCATCAGTATAACACACATAGAGACCAAATCTTTTCTCCTATACAAATATCCCTCTTGGGACTTATTTAAGTTCTTTGTCTTTATTAGCCTCAGCTATTAAAGCTAGATCTCCAAACATTTGCTATTCAAAACTAACTTGCAATCTTCCAAAGGATTCCTTGTAAAACAGTGCAATAAATGCTCATGCCACTAGTTACTTGCTGTGTACCGTAAGACTGGGCTGCTTCTCAGGACCACTCATAAGAGAACTGTTTTCTGTTAAATATTTGCATTAATTCTTACCTTATTTTTTTTACCTATACTAGTATATACCTATTTTCTACAAGATACTGCCTTATTTCAATACAATGATCATTATTTCATTTAACTAAAAAACTCCGTATCTAAAAAGTAAGAACACAAGAGTCAACCACCACAACACCTGCTATACCCCCTCTTTTGGGCAGCTGTGCTTGCTCAAAGAAAAGCTTTTTCATTTGTGTTTGCATAAGGTTTGTCTTAATTAGTCAATATTACAATGACTCACTTTGGGTCTTACGAGACAGCTGGAAGCAGAACACTGTGCAACACAAAAGGAGAACATAATATTATTGCATTTCCCTTAACCCCTCAGGACCTGCCCCCATTGCTGCTAGCAAGAGAGGTAAAAGCAAAATTATATAAAAATTGCCTTTAAGGGTGGAGTATAGCCCTTAGACACTATTCAGGGATAATGTGCAGCAAAGCCAAGCATGGCAGAGAATGGAAAACCAGCAGAGGGACCAGCAAATCATCCTTACTCTGTCAAAAGCTGGTGCAGCTTCTGGTAGCCCCTCTCCAAGGCCAAGCTGACGGGCGTTGCCCCTTCGTTGTTGTGGATGCTCAGAGCTCCTCTTCCTCCCGGCTGCTGGAGCAGAAACCACGTCAGCCGCAGCAGACCCAGCCTCACCGCAAAATGCATCAGTGTCTCCCGAGGGATGTTCTCTGGGAAGGGGGAAAAAAAAGAAAAAGGAAAGAAAGAAATGGGAATTTGTAGGTTGTGGGTTAGGGGAATGTTATATCCCCACCTCCCAGCCCCACCACACACGGCGGCTGGCACGGAGCTGACAGCCCAAAAGCCAAGGAACCTGGAGCACCTGGAAAAACAACCCTGGCTGCCAACATCCACGAGACACAGGTATTTTAAAGCAAGGGAAAGGCTACAGTGGGACTGGAAGTGCTCAGGGCCTCTCACAGTGAGATTGACCACAAGAAGTCAATGTGAAAAACCCACCACTTCCTAAACAGCCACAGCCAGCACCAAGATGCAGCACTTCCAAACAGGAGCATGGTCAGGTGGGCTTTCCTAGACATCCAAGCCTTCTCCTCACTCCCCCAGGACCAGGCTTTAGGGACGGACAAGTTTTGCTGTCTAACAGGACTCTGATTTGCCCCGAGGTATGGGGGGAAAAAAAAAATCAATTACATTTGAAGCATAAATCCACAGCAGTAATAAAAGAGAACAGTTTAAAAACTCATATAAACAAAGCAAGGGTTTTCTTTGCCTCAGACCAACTTTTCTCAGCTTTATACAGTAGCTCTGTCGTTCTGAGTAGAAGCATTTATAAACTCCCAATCTCTGCTGTTGCTTTTTGTGTTTAATAACCGTGACCTTCTAATCTGTTAAAAGTCACTCTTGAGCCCGAGCTTTCATCTCAGAAAAATATCCCACCAACTCCAAAAGCTGGAGCCCTAGAACGATGTTCTGAAAAGCTTTAACCAGAAATGAGCTCCAGATGCACTGCTGAAATCCAGCATTTGCAGATCAAAGCCTGTTATTCTTGTATGAAGGGTAAAAGCAATTGGGTTAAAAAAACGGCGAGAAATAAAAATTTGTTCTTTTAATTAACAAAGGATTTCATTATTGACTGTCAGCAACAACAACAAAAAAGCACCAACTGGGTCTCAGAAAGCCATGCCAATGAGCACACTTGGTATAAACCCTTTAATATCACAGCAATGATTTATTGGGTTATTAATTTGGGTGCCAGCCAAACCTATATATCAAGTTTTAAAATGTATGTACAAAATGGCTTTAGGATTTAATTTTGTATTTTTTCCTTAAGAACTGTGCCCCAAGAGAAATCACTTCTTCAAAGTGCTTTTGTTTTTCCTGCTTGCTTACGTTCTTTAGGGACATCATTAAGACCTTCAGTGAAAAACAAAACAAACCAAAAAGGGGCAGTTCTTCCCTGTCTAGCACACAATTTCCCCCAATTTTTTGGACCAATTCCTGAAGAACTAATCTGTATGCAAGAACCAAAGGCTTTCTGGCACTGTTTCTCTTCCGAATGACTCCAAATTAGGGCTCTGGGCTACAAACCAATCCTTCCCCCCAACCTCCTCTTGATTACCGTAAAGCAAAACTATGCTGCCTTGAATACATGAGAGTGTCTGAATGGGAGTTCCAGCTGAGGGGAGAAAAGGAGAACAGCTGAGCTCCCTCAGAGACAAATTCTCAGCCTTTGGGTAAGTAATGAGAAGGATTTTGGTATTAAATGTTACAGAGTGTAACGATTTAGAAATAATACAACAAGGAATTCAATTCAATCAATGTTTTCAGCCTTGGATTTAAAGAAAAAGGAAAAATGAGACACCATATAGACGAACATAAGGGAAAGGCTACTGATGAGGCCAACATGGGTAGATACAGGTAGAACTTACCCAAAGTGACAGTAAATGCCCAAAGTTTCACTTAATGAACTTCTACATGTTCAATGCTCCCACATTACCTGTACACTAGCAAAGTCAGCACAATTAACATGGTACAATTCTTCCTACAGAGATGTAGGAGGCACAAAAGCACTTCTGTTAGAGCACATGACATGCCATTCAAATAAAGCATGTATTGCACTGGTCTGACCACACCCGTTCTAGCACAAGATGTCCTGTTCTAGAGGAAAATCATTTTCTTAATTAATACAGTCAGTCTTGCACCAAATCTGAGCAGCTTAGAGCTACAAAGCACAGACCCCTGGACAAAAATGCTTCTTCCTCCTGCAGTTGAGAGCTTTACCAATAGGTAGAAGCATCTTCTACTCACCAATTCATGGCTCACCACTAAGCACACACATCAACTGAAAATTCTGCAAGATGCAAATACTCATCCTGTCCCTGAGCCAACTGGGTGCCCCTCTCTGTCTCATATGTCCACACATGAAACGCCCCCTCCCAGTTGTCCCAGTCTGTTCATAGGACTGCACCTTTCGTGTTTTCCTTACTCTTTTAAAACAATATTCTTTATCACCAAATTAGTGGGCACAGTAGTTCCAGAGTTTGGATGGAGATGTCTGCAAATACAACTGCACTGGATGTGGCCCTGCCCCAATGCCTTGGAGCGAGGACAACGTGCACAGAAGATCTGTACAAGAGGGCATGGCGTGTTGCCATCGGAGCATATTAAACATACAAGCTCACTATCCAGGCCCATTTGGAAGACTCTGCCTAACATATAAACTGGCACGAGGCCACCCTAACAGATGGGCACGGATGATGGCAGCAAAGAGACAAAGTACTGTACATCCAACAACTGCAGGGGCCCCAGGCGATGGCTTTAGAAGGTTCTGGAGTGTGGAAAACTTGTATGGCTGCAGTTAAAAAGGCGTGTGCCATCTGTGGGCTGGATTAACTACTAATATATAATAAAGAATACATCTGTTGGTGTGGGGTGTTGCGCAAAACTAGACAAGAGCTGGTCTGCATCAGGCATGGGTGTTTTGCTGGATGGAGAGGGGAGGAAGACAGACAGATCCCTTCAGACTTCCTACCTTTGAAGGGATGAAGCTTGTAATACAAAATGTTGAAAATTTAGTCAATAATTTTAAGATCTTGCCATGGTGCAAAATGCATGTCCCAGGCATTGAAAAATATCAAAAACTTTAAAATGCAATGGCCAGAGCTCCTTCTCCTACCCTGTACCAAGCATGAGCTCCTCATCTTAAAACGGTTGTCGTCTGAATGTAAACAAAAACCTTCTTGTACTTAGGAAATTGTGGAAATACAAGACACATGATACTGAAAAGGCCAAGGTTGTTTTGTTCCTTTCTTGTTTCCTAGTAATAGGCAAGAGTTGAAACATATGATTATTGCCCCATAATGGCAGGGCACTCTAATCCAGCTGGCAAAACACAATATTTTAGATATATTATTTTTGAGTAATTCTTTTCTGCTGTGATACACGAACAGACAGTTTATCTGTGCAACTGAGGACAAAATTTCCATAGAAGACTGTCAAATGTACTTTGTTAATAGTAAAGGATTAAGGTTTAAGGTGCTCCTAGGACAAAACAAGTAAGCATTGAAGATTAAAAAAAAGTTTAGGTATGATACACACAAGAACACTAAGTAAAAACTTTCATTTTAATCCTGATCAAATAACAGAGAAAAACTGCTGTTCCTTCTTTAAAATCAGCTACATAGAGAGTAACCTATACCTAACTGCTCAGTTTATCCAACATGCCCTGAGAACACCATGGAACAGCCAGCCATGGAATGGGTAGCACTGCTTGCTATTCTTCCTGTGCTGTTGACCTTCACCTGCTTCTCACCCCAAATCACACATAGTTGGCAATTTTGACATGTACCATCAAATCTGGCCTCAAAATGCTGCTTTTCTGCTGGAAATGTTCTCACTGCTCAGATGAATCCTTGAAGAACAAGGGTGAAAAAACCCCAGAAACAAGCTGTCACCTAACGCTGAGGTCCTACGGGAAGGCTCCAGCACACAACTGCACTGAAGAAAGGTCAAGGCAAAGCTGTTGTGTTTGGAGTTATGAGTTCAGTTAATAAAAGACGTGTGGGTAATTCTTTTCCTAATCAGATAAACAAGAAATTTTTCAAAGCACACCAAAAGATCTTCATGTCCCCATTCCAACTAAAATCAAAGGGAACAGAAACATTCTCATGCCAACAATTTCTCAGCCACAGACTAAACGGTACATCTCAGTCCTGAGCAGAATATTTCAGATGCTGTCTGAACAAGAATTACTTTCTGCTTCTCGTTTTCCACTGCAGAGGGCAGTAAATTTGGGTATGGAAAAGACTTTTTACATCTTATCAAGGACTGTAGTTGAACAGACCACTTTGTGCTGCTGGCACTGAACAGATCGTGGTGACTTATGCCACATAGTCCTTTACCAGAGAATACAGAAAGTGAGCAGCAGATTGGAAAGGATACAAAACCCAACAAAAAGAATACCTATAACTATTACGCTGAAAAGGTTCAGCAAGAAACTATAAAAAGGGTACATAAAATGAACAGATTAAAGCTCTATGTCTAAAAAAAACATCATCAGCTGTGTGTCTTTAACATCCTCCCACGGGAAAGGAGCTTAGTTCCTAATAATCAAATTCTGAAAGTTTTTTTAAAAGTTTTTTTTAGGTTTTTTGCTTTTTTTCTTTAAAATAAGACACTCTATTTGGTTAGTTCCTATCTTCAGACATTCTCCCTTTCTGCAAAAAAACCACCAAATTAACTATCTCTATTCACAATTACACTCATGTTGTCCTGTACATTGAAATCCATCCTACTGGTTTTGTACGTGGTGTTATTAAACTCATAATCCATTCAGACTATTTCATTTCCTTCTCTACCCACCTCCTACCTGGAGGAGCTCAGGGAGTTTAGTTTCCCAAGTAGTACTTACTGCACAAGGGTGTTTATCCCACAGCATTTCTGGGAAGTTGTACATATTCAACACATCAGTAACTGCAATCTGTTAAGGTTCTATCTAATCAGATGGTCTCCTGGTTATCTGCCCGCAATCCTGGCTCACTATCTCTCAGCAGCCCTTACACTCCCAGGGGAATTGCTCCATATCATGGTGATCACAGCAACCCTCTGCCAAAGTTAAGCAGCTCCTGAAGCACCATCTCAGACAGCCCACACAACCAAAACTGTAACCATAGGTCTGGGTTTCACCACTCACTTTTAATAAGCAAATGAAAAGACTGTTTCCTCAAAGGTTTTGTCAGAATACTACTTCAAGATATTTTGAAAGTGATCTGTTTACTAGTGATACAATTAAGCTCTCTAAGCTTTTCATACCTGAGCCTTAGATCCTCCCTAATTTTTTTTTCTGCCTTTTTTTTCCCCACTGCAACATAAACAAGCCATAATCATTACTCATACCTCAAAATATTCAGTTGTGGTTTTTTAGTTAGCTTATTTTCTTTTCAGTAATTTAAAATAGAACATCGCAGTCCTGTATTTACATTGCATAAATCCTCAGAATACATATTAAATTTTGATTTCTAGACATAAAGCGCAACAATCTGTTCCATTTAAATAGCTGCCTTTAAATGCCACTGAGAGCAGTAAATAACCCTACTTTTGACAGCAGTAACAACTATGTTCTTTGGAAAGTTACAGTGCACTTGTAATTATTAAGACAGACATGATTATACGGCACCTGAAAGAAATGCTGTGTTTGGAATACCACGGTAACAAGAGTAATCCTTAGTTATGGATATTCTGAAATTGTGGATGCCATTTGAGTTCATAGAGATACACAGATAACTAAGTGCAAGGCCTGCTGTGCAGGGACACTGTATGGCTGGGGGAAGAGCACAGTTCTTGGGGACACGGCTGTTCTCAAACAGCAGCAATGAGGACTGAGCTGTGCAGGGAGGAAGGAGCTCAGGACACTCTTGCCCAAGGGGGTTCAGGCCCACTCTCTACCTGCAATGAAAATCCTGTCCCTACACACGTGTGCACCTGACTGGCCCCTGCAACCCAAGGACACAGTGATGGACCAGCTGAGCAGGACCATGGCACCACACACGGCACTGCTTCCTCTGCCTCCTCCAGCTCCAGCATGTGCCAGGCTTTCTGCTGCTATCCAGGTCATCTAAACAAATGGTTGAGTACCCTTTGCCTTCCTCAGCAAGAGAGGATGGAGCTCAAGGACCTCTAATGTCAGGAATCTTAGGTTCTCCCATTCCTAGTCTGCTGGCTGTGTCTGTTTACTGACACAGCAGATTAGTTAATCGGCCTCAGGAGACAGAGCTGGGTGACACTTTTAGCAGCTTCTTTGCCCTCTGTGGTGTGTGATGGCAATGAACTCCCTGCCCTCTGCTCAATGACTAGTTAGGTTAGAGTGCAAGTGAAAGCAAGGAGAAGCCTCCACATAAAGCCATCCCCTCCTCAAAATTCAGCCTGGATTTATGCTCAGTGGTGGATCTTGTACCCAGCTTCTGCTTGCAGAAAGGCCATTACCTCCTAACTTTTACAAAAGTTAGACTCCTACTTCAGGCCTTCGAAAAATCGACTTTTAAACATGTTTGACAGCAACAGCCATCTCTGAACAGCAGTTCCCCATCAGGCTGAGGCACTCGGGGAGCTGGCTGAGGCTCCCGGCTCGCTCCCGCCTTCCGAGGTTTTGCTGAACAGCAGCGTTTTGTTTCCAGCCCACAAGAGCCCATAGAGACATGCCAGCTTAGAGGCAGCACTAAACATCTCTCAAGGAGGGATCTGACATTTTCTTTTGTTCTCATTTCTATAGTATTTTCTCCTTCGAGAAGGTTATTTGAAGTTATCTGGTGCTGACATTTAGGGAAAATGTGAAACATGAATTGGAATAGCTGTTCATAGGTAGTGTTGCAGTGCAGGACAGCGTGTCCCACTGCAGAGGCACTGGCCAGAATATGCCTAATTCTTCAAATGCTCCCACAGTTTCAATCTTTGCAGTGCTTTTCTCTCTCCCACACACAAATTAATACACAAGCGCCAGTATAAGGGTGCTATGTTTTACCACAGATATTTTTCTAATCTAGAGCTCCATCATAAATCAGGGACATCTCTTCTATCTCACTCTAGCAAAACAGTTTCATGACAAAAAGGATGCTTACACATGCAAATCTTTCCTGCTTTCCTGTCACAATCACAAAAATTCCCCCAAATACCCTATGTATAATTATCTCACTGCAAAAAAATAACTCTAAAAAAAAAGGGAACATATTTTATAGCACTAATGTTCTTGGATGAAAGATGCATTTAATGCCATTACATTTATTCACTAATACTACTGTCTACAAAAACCTCACCACAATATGTCAAAACACTCTGAGTTACAGAATTCAGCACTACAGAGCTCCCCCTTCTCACTGAGAATGCCACAGATGCTCCACAGGTCCATTAGCATTCAGAGCCCCACACAACCACAACTTCCAGGCACACAAGCACAGGCTGAACAAAACAATGTAAATCTTATGGCCTGATTTCCCTAAATGCTGATTTTCCAAAGAATAATCAAAATCAAAAAGAGAAACCGGATCTCAGCTTCCTGCAAAAATCAGTAACAATTCAGAGCTTCAGAGTTTTCATTAAGATCACTTCGACCATATTTTTATCACTTCGACCACAGATGTCTGCGTTATCACAACTTTTTTAAATGCAGAAAGAAACACCAGTGACTTCCACATAGAGGAAAAAAATACCAGGTGTTTATCTCCTTGTAAACATATGACAGCTGCTGAATTTCTGTCCAGAAACTATTAAATATGACCAAATCTTTCAAAGTCTGCTAACACGAGAATTGCCTGTCCATGTATTCAGGTTTACAAAAGCAGTCAGCAAGTTGAAGAAAAATAAAGCAGGAAAATCTCCTGTGGAAAACCCTGTTGCAGTGAGCAGAACTGAGCCTGCTGCACCAGGCAAGCCACGTGCCAGTCCTATTCAAGTGTTTATGCCACTACATCCTATAAAAGATAACAGATGCCTCCTAGTCACATTCCTGAAGTGAAACTATTTGCCAAAATACCCTGAAAAATTACAGCAAGTATTTGTAAACACTGGAACTAGTCCCCCAACCCCCCAGTATGCTTCCTTTTACTCCCCCGTGACAAAATAAGAAGAACTCCAAGAACACGTACATGCCACAGCATCCAGAACACCTTGGCACTTCTGCTTCAGCAGCCACCAGAGTCTTGAGGTTTATTTATAAGCTCACAGTAACCCTTGCTGCTGTGGTGAAGGGTCAGACTTTCCCACCTTCCCCTTCCTATATTTGCAAAACTGTCCAGGTTTATTTTGGGGAACTTCTGTGCTAACCCCGCTGATGTACAATCAGGGATGCAATATAAACCCTCAGGGAAAGAGCCACAACATCTCCAAGAAAAATAACATATATTTTAGACATAAAATCTTTGTACCTGGTCTGTAAAACCAACATTTAGCAAAAGCAACAGATTTGTGGCACAAGGATATTTCCAGGAGCATCAAGACTTTTTACACACAGGTTTTTGTCAGGATATAGTGTGATGCTGATACACATACCATTGCTATATACTAACAAAGAAACCTTCTGGGTATGTGTTAAAATATTGCCCATTTACGTCAGCTCGTGCTATTTCATAAGAGAAAACCCAGAGAAAACATCAGTCAATGCCTTATGTACTTTATGTTGGTGGAAGGGCAAAGGTTCCTTCTCTAAGCACAGAGGCCACCACACCTTTTGAAAGGCATGTGGGGAGTTCCCAAGGCAGGGAGCCCTTTCTCCCAGGCTTTTTACCTCTCTGCCAACCCACAAGTCTCACTGTGCCCTAGAAATCCTCACCGGGCAGGGACTGGTCTGCTCCCAGCACGTTCCATTCTGCTGGAAGTTTCAGGTGTCGAAACGCCAAAGCCACTTTCTCATCCAGAAAGTCCACGTCTGCAGCAGGGGGTCTTGACCGGTCCAAGAACCGCGTGAAGTTCAGCGCCTGCTGGTTGCCAGCACAGGTGGCCAGAAACTGGGCGGCATCGTAGGCTTCATCCTGGACAAACTGGAAACTCTCTTCTGCCACAATCAGAACAGGGTGACCTTCTCTGGAGGCACAAAGTGCCACCTTCACTGTCTCACAACAGTCATGGCCTGTAAAACAAAACCCAGAGAAACTGTAAAAAAAGAAAAATGGCACGGGTGGAAGAACCAGAACTGAACAACTCCTTTGACACACATAGTCTACATTAAATCAAATAAAACCAGTGGTCACGATTCTAAAAATAATACTATCTCAGGAATTTATATGCATCATCAGAGATAAGTATTTCCTAGAGACTTTAAAAGGAAAAGATGTGTAACTCTTCTCTGTCCCAACATAAACCAAGAACTATTAGCCACCATTATCTGACCAGGCTATTTATGATCCGTGACAAGTAAACTCAAGAGCGTTGAGTAATTGCAGTGAAGATTTTGCTAACGTACCAAAAGCCAGATTATATGGTCAAATTTTTGTTTCCCAGCTCCACAGGACTACAGTAATTCATCAGAAACTAGAATCAGAGTGCTGCAAAACTACATACTCCAAATGCTGTCACAACACTTGGTTTGTACTGAAAACATTGGAATTTCACCTAAAACAAAGACCTAAATGGCTACCAGAGCAAAACCTGCCCGGGCATGCCCTGTGCTTGCTCCTTGCTGCACCTGCCCCTTTTGTTTGGGTTCGCATGACAAAACTAAAACTAAGCTGCTTCTGCTAAATAAAAACATGGAAATGGCCACTTTCCATATTTACAAAACAAAAAAGTTGGAAGTTCGATAACTTTATTTATTTAGGGCAGGGAAACAGGAGAAGGGAAGTCCTGGCATGGCAGCAATTTCATTGACTCAGAAACTCAAAAAAAAACCCCCAAATCCAAAACCCACAACACCTTTTTGCAATTTTAAAAGAAAAAATATACTATGTGTCCAACACAGCCAGCACTTGTAGTTGTCAGACATGTCCCTTCAATAATAAGGTTTGTGTTTCAAGTTCACTATGTGGCACAGTTTCTTGTTCCAGCCTCAGACTGACGTCATGGCTGTTTTTGCCAGAATGGCATGGACCCTGCACTAATTACTGGAAAAGCTTCTTTTTGCCCATGACCTCAGCATACTACCACATTCATGAAACCCTCCTTAATTAAATACAAAATGACGATTTATTTTTAAAGGCTTGAAAATTCAATTTAAGCCCCTATTTGTGGTCAGTGGGAAAGTTTCCTTCGTCTGTCAGGGCCCTTTGCTGCTGATTTCCCTGACAAAAGGGAAAATATGTCCCTAATCTTCATGGTCTTTCGGCCAAACTCGAAAATCTGTTCTGAGGCTTTTGGCATCTGTACAGGTTTTGTGTGCTGAAAGAGGCGATCCTGAAGTTAATTGAAAGGTCAAAACTGCTATTAGGACACTGTGGGGAGCACCAAAATTATCAGAGATGAGGCTGTGTGGCTTCCTAAGGAGAGCAAATGCAGCTGGAAAGGTATCAAACACAAGTGCAGACGGGGAGGAAAACACACATGGATGTTGCTGCAACAGCTCAGTACCTGAACCAGGAGGCTCTGAAGCTGAAAGGTTAGAAAATTTCTTTCCTCCCAGCACCAGGCATCTATTAGCAAGACGATGATGTGAAAACTGAAGGCATAGGTTTACTAGTATGGGTGTTATTAAAGAGAATAAGGGTAGGGAAGACCTACTTCTACTGCTCTTGGAAATACTGCACATGCATCCTAATACATCACTGTTCAACAGGTAGGCAGGGAACTCAGCAGCTCATATGAAACCCCTTCACAAACCCTGCCCGTGCCCACAGTAGAAGCCTCAAACGTTGAAGGGAGAAGTGGTGGGACAGTACAACTTTGGGGGAACTTGCCTTTAATGCCACTTAGAACTGTACATCTCTCCCCCTACACCTCCTTGCTTTGCTGATCTTCCTAAGGACATCCCAATATGGAGCAGGTAAGACATCAGTTTTATCCACAGCCTCCACAAAGCCGTGAGTTACGCACGCTCTGAGAAGGCCATGCCAGCCTACGGGAGCTGACTCAAGCGCTGCGAGCTGGGCTCTCCCTAAGGTAGAGCAGTGGAAGTTTGCTAGAATGAGGAGTTAAAGAAAAAAAACAACAAAAACACCATAATAAAAGATTCCTTAATAGCATGAGAACAGCTAACCTTTTGATTTTTTAAACTTTTTTAAAACTATTTTCTGTCTATTCCCATAAGAATCCCATCTGCAAAATAACCTACAATACAGTTACTCTGCCAGAAAGTCAGTGGACTTTCAGGATTGAAGAGACAGGCAAAAAATGGTCTGTGAGCAGCTACAGAGAAACAATTTGGGACAGTTACTTCCTTGCCACAAAGCCAAACGACTCTTCTGTGGGACAGCAAAAGCACCTCCATCGAGACAACAACTAGAGAAACATCAAGGATGTACACAAAGTTCCCCTGAATGGAGCAGATGTTAAACACCAGATGCAAAATGTAACACAAGGGAAGGTGACAAAAAGATCATGTCCTGACCTGTAGCCAAAAATTATTCTCTTGAAACTTCCCCAGATATCAAATGCAGTCTAGAAGAGGTGACAGACCTGACGATCCATTTTCATCCAACAGGATCAAACAAGCATCGTGCTAAACCCTGGGGAGTGTTCTTCGAAAGGGCAACCACTCACAAGGCTTTGATGTTCTGCTTCCTCACATCTGAGAAGATGTCAGACTCGGGGGTAAGAATCTGGGACAGGTTCTGACTTCTGGCAAACAGTTCAAACAGAAGAGGAGCCAGTATGTAACAGGAGCAGCCAATACTAGAAAGATTGCTCAAGAAGTCTCTGCCCCCCTGCTTTGAAAACGCTACAGGAACAATGTGAGCAAACATGTCCCCAGCACATGAACTTTCTGAAAGAACCATCGGTGGGGCAACACTTCTCTCCACATCAAACACTCAATGGCCAGACTAATGCCTGAACTTCAATAGCCCTTTTTCCAAGCATTAGCAAAAGTGAGGAAAGCTTTGTGGCACTTTCAGGAGATAAGTAGTTATCATCTGTAAAAACAGCCCAAATCTGTTTTTATGAGGTTAAGTAACTTGTCCAAGATCACAAAGAACTCCAGGCAGTACCAGAGCAGACACTATTGCTCTTGTTCATCATCTTTCAGCTCTGGCTGGTAATCAGCAGGCCTTTCTCCTAACATGGCTCAAGCACCAAGTTAGGCACTTTACAAGTATCAGGGTGGTTGGTTGACTGTAACACCCTCATTCACATACTCAGATGTGGAACAGAAAAATGTCTGACTCAAAAAGGTGAAAAAAACCCAGGTGTGTCAGTGGGTTGGTTTTGGCTGGAATAGCATTAATTTTCTTTGTAGTAGCCAGTGTGGGGCTGTGTTTTGGATTTGTGCTCAAAACAGTTGATAGTTCAGGGATGTTTTCATTCTTGCTGAGCAGAACTTACACGGAATCAAGGCCTTTTCTGCTCCTGCCCCCACCCCACCAGGGAGGAGCATGGGAGACACAAGGAGCTGGGAAGGGATCCGGTCAGAAAAGCTGACCTCAGCTGACCTCAGGAATATCCCAGACCATATGGCTTCATGGTCAGTGTATAGAGCTGGAGGAAGAAGAAGGAAAGGGGGACAATTGGAGTGATGGTGTTTGGCTTCCCAAGTCACCATTACACATGATGGAGCCCTGCTGTCCTGGGATGGCTGAACACCTCCTTGCCCATGGGAAGTGGTGACTGAATGCCTTGTTTTGCTTTGCTTGCACATGGCTTTTGCTTTACTCATTAACCTGTCTTTATCTCAATCCACAAGATTTCTCACTTTTACTCTTTAAATTCTCTTCCCCGTCCCACTGGGGGGAAGCATGCAGCTGTCTGGGGGCTTAGTTGCTGGCTGGGGTTAAACCATGACACTCAGGAAGAGATGAGCTTATTTATAAAGGTTTGCATTTTGGTAGGCTGAAAACACATTAACTGAATAAATCACACAGGTGAGTGCACCCCCAAGAAGGTATGGGGTGCAGAGCTTTACTATGCAAGCAGGTTCACAATGCCACCCAGCACCCCTGCTGATTGCCTTAGTCTTCTACAGAAATCAGGCTCTTTGGCCAAAATAACAATCACAAGCAAATGGTGAAATCGTGAACATCGTCACGCTGGTGCCACCGAGTTCGAACTTTAACTCTTCTGACAAACAACAGTGTTTCCCCCTAGCTGACATCTCAGACTGCACAGAGTAACGTCATGTGTATGACTATGCTTCCGTTTTTCACACTTTTTTTTGCCACGGTATGAGATGTGGTCATTTATATGCTGGCTTGACTGACAAAATTTTAATAACCCACCCCTGAACTCTTGCAGGATTGCATTTTATCCCATTTCTCTTCCTGCTCCTAAGTTACTTTAAAACTAGCTTGGAAACAATTCACAACTTGGAGCTGTTTTGAGAAGTGCCAACATACTGCAGGAAAAATACAAAAATTAAAAAACTATTTCAGTCTATGCAGAGATGGGAGCAGCAACAAATTCTGTTGTGATAAAGTGAATTCCTCATCTTCATGTAAAACCACGCTTTAAAAATTATTTTAAAGGAGACAATAACTCTTGAACTAAATAATTTCTTACTGGGGATGAATGGGAACACTTAATGAAGCTTGCTTTGGGGAAAATACAAGAATGAAAAATGAAGACATGGTGTTCTGGTCTGTCTGTACTTAGCCCTGAAGAGGCGAGATGCATCTGCATGATAACACAACCTCCTCTACATGATAACGATGCAGAACAATGAGCAGGAGAAAAGGTGGAGATTTCTGAGCTGTAAGTCATCAGCAGACAAGTTAATGTACAGCTTAGATCTGTCCACCTGTGCCAGTGATCTGGGGTGCAGTTACAAGGGTAGAACTCTTCTGACTTTTTCTTGTTAAACAAAACACCCCTAAACAGAACTATACTAAAAGATGATTTCATTTCCTACTCCTCCAATAGTGGAAATCCTGTCCAAACCTCCTATTTTCAGAATTCACATTGGAGCTATTAAACAATAGGCCCCCAGCCTGGGCAGCTATTTAAAGCCCTGCTGGAAGCACATGTTTGGGTTTGCCTGGTAGGTGACTA